AGTCCTAAAATCAATTACTTTGTTAATTTCTTTGCTTCAGATGAGTGTACATGCAGGATGCCAAACCTAAGTTTGTGCAAACTGAGGGTTCTGATTTCATATGACAGCTAGGGAATTTGGCTTTTGGTTTCTTGTTATTTCTGACATCTATAAGACTCTTATGAGTTCAGATACATATTTACAATTTTTTTTCATTATACGATATTTTATCTTTTACATTGGAGGGATTACTCTTCCGCTTTTATCTTGTCCTCTTCATCTTTATCTGCCTAACTCCTATTTATCATTCAGTTTTAATTTAAACACCAATTAAAAAGATAGGGAAGCACTTCCTGACATCTAGATTAGTCATATCTATAAAAACAAAACAAAGCAGAAGAAATAAACAATTATAAATTCTCTGAGTTAGCAATCAGAAAAGTCCATCTGAAGATACATGAACTACTTGGGGAAATAAACATCTCTTTCACTAAGAGATGCACTTCAAATTTTAAAATAACCACATCAAAATTTATATGGGGTTATTCTGTGTATTAACCATAACTATAAATGGTAATTCTATTCATATAAAATTTTACTATTTGAGAGGTCTATAGTCAGGATATTTGGATACATTTAAAAAAGCTATGTAACTTTTTAAATTACAATATTAAAAATATATTGGGAGTTATATTCAAGTTTATGGTATTATATTTTAATTTGTGAGTGTGTTGGGGAACATCCTAAATGTCCATCTATAAAAAACTGGTTGGAAAAAAAAAAAAAGGAAACTTGGAAAAAACCCACATAATGATATATCCAAACAACAGAGTTCTATAGAACGCTAAAACAGAATGAGGACTATGTCTATTTACTACCATGGAGTGATCTCCAGAATATTTTGACCAGTAAAAAAAAAAAGAAAAAAAAAGGTGAATGATATCTTATCTAAGCGAAACGAGTGCACATACACTTATACAGTTACCTGCTATTATTTAAAAAAAAAAATATTGAAAGAATAAACAATAAAAGCCACCAAAATGATTACGTCATGAGGAATGGAAGGTAGATGTGATAAAGATAAAAAGATAAAAGCTATACTTCTTTGAATACAATTTGTATCACAAAGCTGAGTTCTTTCAATGTACTGTAGTTTCATATAAAATTTTAATTAAAAAAACACTAAAAATAAAAAATGAAAGAAGCATACCCAGTTGGTAGCATAACAACACAAAATATAACTATTACAAATGACTTTAAGACACAGTAATTTGACACTTATAGCCCTAGAACAAAAAAATAGAAGAACAATTTTAACCTGTTTAAATAGTATTTGTTATTGGTGATACTGTTGGTATTGTTATTCTTTTTTTTTTAAAGTATATTTTTATTGATTTCAGAGAGGAAGAGAGAGGGAGAAATAGAAACATCAATGATGAGAGAGAATCATTGATCGGCTGCCTCTTGCACACCTCCCACTGGGGATCAAGCCCACAACCCAGGCATGTGCCCTTGAACAGAATCGAACCCGGACTCTTCAGTCCACAGGACAACACTCTATCCACTGAGTCAAACTGTCTATGGCAGTATTGTTATTCTGAGATTACTGTTTATAAAATATGGAATATGTCAAGTGAGTAATTATTTCACACTAGAGGCCCGGTGCACAAATTCTGCACAGGTGGGGTCCCTTGGCCTGGCCGGCAATTGAGGCCTATCGGGGGGTCAGCTCATCGGGGGAAGGGACCATGGGAGGTTGGCCTGCCAGTCGGGGGATGGCCGACTGGGTGAAGGGGTCATGGGAGGTTGGCCAGGTGAGCACACTGACCACCAGGGGGCAACTCTTGAGTTGAGCATCTGTCCCTAGTGGTCAGTCTGCGTCATAGTGACTGGTCAACCAGTCATTCCGGTTTTTCGGTCCTAATGATCTCATAGGCTTTTACTGTATATATACAGAGTAGAGGCCCGGTGCACAAAATTCATCCACGGGGGTGGAGGGTCCCTGCACCCTCTCGCAATCTGGGACCCCTCAGGGGATGTCCGACTGCCGGTTTAGGCCCAATCCTGCAGTGGAATGAGGCCTAAACCGGCAGTTGGACATCCCTCTCGCAATCCAGGACCGCTGGCTCCTAACCACTCACCTGCCTGCCTGTCTGATTGCCCCTATCTGCCTCTGCCTCGGCCCCCGCCGTGGTGGATTCGTCTGGAAGGATGTCCGGAAAGTCATTCAACTGTCTAGTCTAATTAGCATATTGTGCTTTTATTATTATAGACTAGAGGCCCGGTGCACAAAAATTTGTGCACTCGCGAGGGAGGGGGGCCCCTCTGCACGGCCTGTGCCCTCTCACAGTCTGGGACCCCTTGGGAGATAACGACCTGCTGGCTTAGGCCTGCTCCCAGGTGGCAGAGGGCAGGCCCAATCCCTAGGTGCAGCCCCTGGTCGGGCTCAGAGCAGGGCCGATTAGGGAGTTGGGGCGCTGCCCCATGTCATGCACAGAGCAGGGCGATCGGCAGGTTGTGATTCCACCCTCAATCACGCTCAGGGTAGGGCCGATTGGGGGGTTGGGGCACCATCCCCTGTCACACTCAAGGCAGGGTCGATGGGGAGGTTGCAGCGCCACCCCGTCATGCACAGAGCAGGGCCAATCAGGGGGTTGGGGCATTTCCCCCTGTCACTCACAGAGCAGGGCCCATCAGGGGGTTGGGGCGCAGCCCCCTGTCACACACAGAGCAGGGCCCATCAGGGGGTTGGGGCGCCGCCCTCTATCACCCACAGAGCAGGGCCGATCAGGGGGTTGGGGCGCCACCACTCTCACACTCAGGGCAGGGCCGATGGGGAGGTTATGGCTGTACCCCGTCACACACAGAGCAGGGCCCGTGGGAGGGGGTTGGGGCGCCGCACCCTGTCACACACAGAGCAGGGCCGATCAGGGGGTTGGGGCGCCGCACCCTGTCACACACAGAGCCGCAGGGCAATCAGGGGGTTGGGGCGCTGCCCCCTGTCACGCTGATCCCGGTGCTGGGAGGCATATTACCCTTTTACTATATAGGGTAGAGGCCTGGTGCACGGGTGGGGGCCGGCTGGTTTGCCCTGAAGGGTGTCCTGGATCAGGGTGGAGGTCCCCACTGGGGTGTCTGGCCAGCCTGGGTGAGGGGATGATGACTGTTTGCAGCTGGTCACACACCCTTCAGGGTGGGGGTCCCCACTGGGGTGCCTGGGAAGTCTGGGTGAGGAGCTGAGGGCTGTTTTCAGGCTGGGGGTGACTGAAGCTCCCAACCGCTCCTTTTTTCCTTTTTTTTTATTCTGGGCCAGCTTTAACTTTGAGGCTTGGCTCCAGCTCTTAGGCCTCCGCTGCTGAAAGTAGGTTTCTGGCCTTTGCTTACAATGTTGCGATCCTGCTGGCTGAAGCCCGGCAGGTTTCTGGGGTTTTGTTTAGCTTCTATATTTGTTACATAGTTGCTTGCAGCTCAGAGGCCTGCAGCGGCAGGCGGGGAGCGTTGGAGTCCTCCGTCACTGAAGCAAGCAAGCCTCATGTTAGTTTCAAGCTGCCTGGCTGCCGGCCACCATCTTGGCTGACAGTTAATTTGCATATCGCCCTGATTAGCCAATGGGAAGGGTAGCGGTCGTACGCCAATTACCATGTTTCTCTTTTATTAGATAGGATTCTAATTCTCCAGTGACTTTGAGAACTAGGATTCCCAACATGAGACAAAGGAAAGTTAAACATCTTATAGTAGTGAATTTGAAGTATCAGTATAAACTCATAATGTATTCTATCTTAAAAACAACAAAACAAAAAGCAATGTATTTCCTAGTTTTAGTCCACTGGAACGGCCTAGAAACAATGACCAACCTGGCAAAAATGAGCATCCCTAGCATCCAGACTCTGGTTTTGAAATATCATTTCCCATTCAAAGAAACAAAGGTCCATTAGCATAGTATAACAAAATGAGACTGAAACATATTACTATACCACATAGCAAGGTGGCTCTCAAAGACCATTAAGGGTCAACCTAAAAAAAACTCAAACATAAAAAGGCTTATACTGGCAAAAGTTGAGACAATTTGAACTTCAGTAAAGATAACTGTAACAATTTCAACACAAGTATATTTAAATCTATGGATTAATGATACTAAAATTTAAAGAAAAACCCAATTACTTTTGAGATAACATGATGTCTGATAATAGTTTGAAAATAATACTTGAGTCAATAACAAGGGTAGGTTAGATGAACAAGACTGGCCACGGGTTGGTTGATATGGGTCATGATTACATCCCATACCATCCTTCCTACTTTCAAATATATTTTGTTTTTCATTATTAAAAAATAGAGTATGAGGACATATGTAAGTTTTCAAAATTAATTAAAAGTATTATTGGAACAAAAAGTTTGAAGACCAGTGTTCTAAAGCTAAAGAGCAAGAATCACATCTACAAATAGAACCAGAGACATAGAAGGATCAAACAGGCTGTCCTACCTATGAGGGAAGATGGGAGGTGAAGGGGTAAGAGATCAACCAAAAGACTTGTATGCATGCATATGAGCATAACCAATGGACACAGACAGTAGGGGGGTGAGGGCATGTGCTGGGGGATGGGAGCGGCCAGAGAGAGGTCAATGGGGGAAAAAGGAGACTTATGTAATACTTTAAACAATTAAGAATTTTTTTAAAAAAATCACATCTACCATGTTAATCAAAGAATGCTCAGTACTTATTACCCAACAGACAACAGGTGCTCAATATATAGTTATTAAATTAATGAGGAGAGATAAAATAGTTGGCTTAAGTGGTAAGAATTTTTAAAGTAATTTTTATTTAGAAAAATAATTATAAATTGAGATGATGATTACTCTTCCTACATAAGCATCATATATGCAATTCTATATAGTATGGTCAGAACAGTAGTCTTCCTTAATGGGTTAGTTTTAAAATTATTTAAATTTTTATCAAATATATCTCACATTATAAGATAATTAACATGTAATTTGAGTAAATTTTCCACATATAAATAACCTACCTTTCAAAAGGTGCTTGGACTCTTTTAATTACATGGTAAGCAAGTATGTCTTTTGCCAACAAATATTTGTCACTTAATGATGTTATAATTCTTAGACATCCAATAAGCTCTAGGTAGTTATAGCATTCATTCATAATTGAGTTTAAGTCAGCTACATTTGTTGCACTATTTATCTGTAATGAAGAAGAAAATATACCGAGTTTCCACTTTCACTTGTAAATGATACTTTACATTTCAAATGACACATTATTTTAGACTCAATTCTTGAGTACACCAGAATGGAATGAAAGTATACCAAAAATTATTTTTCTAGAATAAATACCTGACAATCCAGTTTAATAAACATTGTATACTTCTTCTTTCAAGAAACCTTGAGTATAATGCCCCTTTAATATAGGAAATTGCTTACATAAAAGGCACTAATTGACATAGAACAGTTACATAGCACTGGAGAGGCAAGAGAAATTACCTGAGATTTCATGAAAGAGAAAGAATATCAGCTGAGACTTAGATGACTACAACCAAAAGAGTATTTCAGGGAACATCATAAACAGAAAAATTCTTGACCATTTATGTGCCAACGCTTTCATATAGGTTAGCATATATGAACACTTACAGAAGGAGAAAGATAAAAATACAAGGCAGTCAATAGAAAATTTCCTTGCAATTTCTTCTTTCCAAAAAACTCTTCTCCCAGAGACTTACATGGATTCTCTCATTCTTATTAGGTCTCTGCATTTCTCCAAAGTTTTTCCTGACTACCTGGTTCAAAATAATAGTTGAATGTATTTTGCCTTATCCTACCAAATCCACCACACTGAGTTTTAGCTAGGTGCACAGCCAAATTTTCCTTGCTATATGTGACTAAGACTGTCCAATGGGATGAGTGAAAACGTGTCAAACTGCCCCCCACCTTCCATTTTTTCTCCATTAAGTGCAAGCTTCAGTCATGTAGATGCAAACACTATCCTAAGTGATTACATAACAATGAGAGAATGGAATCCAATTCCCTGGATGACCAGATGTACCACTACTATAACTCTAAAATGAGTCATTTCTGTAAAAATCAGATAGCATTTTATGTTTTGTGAGTAGATGTCTGTCACAACTACTCAACTCCACCATTATAGTGTAAAAACAGTCACTGACATATAAAAATGGGTGTGTAGTTTCAATAAAACTTCATTTACAAAAAAGATGCAGCAGGCCAGACTTGACCTATAGCCACAGTTTGCCAACCCTAACGCCTAAAATCTAAACAACAGATTTTAGAGAGAAATAAATATCTGCCATTTTTTTTGAGACACTGTCTTTTGGGTGTCTATATTATAGCAGCTTAGCCTCAGCTCTAACCTATTATACCCCAAGCATTATCTATCTCCTTTCTCATATTCTGTTTTATTTTTATAATATATTTTACTACATGATGGCACAGTTGACCCTTGAACAACATGCGTTTGTACTGTGTGGGTCCTCTTACATGTAGATTTTTCTCTCTCTCAATACAATCAGCTCTCTGTATCTATCCATGGGTTTTACATCAGCAAATGAGGAGGGCTAATAGTATGCATTGTTTTATACCATTTTATATAAGAGATTTGAGCATCTGCAGTTTTTGGTATCTGCACGGGTTGGAGATCCTAGAACCAGTCTCTCGCAGATACTGAGAGACAACTGTAGTTAAGTTTGGGCAAACAAAAAATTATATGTGGATTTCTGACTGTGTAGGATTAGGTGCCCGTAACCCCCATGTATTGCAAGGTCAACTATACTGCCCAATGCAGGAGCTGCCATGATGCGCACTGGCCATTTAAAAATAAACAGCACCACGGACCTGGTGCCAACAAACCAACATTTGGCTTCCCCCAAGTGGTACACAGGCCTCGCCACCACTGTGGAGTGAAACCCCACCAAATCGCAGCCAACATTCCATGGCGCAAAATGCAGCCCACAGCCCAGCCCAAAATGGTGGCTATGGACGCCGGATAATGACATCACATAGCAACGCCTGGCTTCCTTTCCCTAGCGACTAGCCTCCTTGGAGTTTGTTCAGCCCAGGATCCTGACTTGCTTTATAGCCAGGTACAAACATTTTACAGTTTAACCAAATGTTTGTGAAGCGTTTCCCCATGCCTCATCTCATTTGATCTTCATAGAAGTCCTGGAGTAGAAGATAGGAGACTCAGTAGAATCCTACAATCTTTTCATTAGAAAGATGGGAATAGCAATATTAAAATATTTCTTCTAATTAATTTCCTTTTAATGCGCATGAATCCATGCACCAGGACACTAGTATGTTATATATTTATTTATCTCGTGTCTTCCCTCTAAAACAGTGGTTGCCAACCTTTTGGACCTCACAGACCACCCATTGGTGACCACTGCTCTAAAAGGGAATTTCAAGGAGATAGGGATTTTGGCTCCCTACTCTGTCTTCAGTGATAAAACAGTACTGGGTACATAGTATTTACTAAGTAAACAAACACTGCTTAGGAATACAGAAATAGAAATAGGTAAAGCCAGGAGGAGAGTTGGAAGTCTTAAATGACCTAATGAATAACATGAACTTTGTTCAATAGGCAATGAGAAGCCATTGAGCATTCCTGAGAAAGCAATGTGGTCAAGATTGTACTTTTAAATTACCCTGAATAAGAATATCAGAATGATGTCCTAATTGCTTACACACAGACATAATTAAGTTTGGTATAGTAGGCACACTGAAAATAAGGAAAGGCAGATGGCTTGACACAGACTGATAAAGGGAATGTGAAAGAATGAAAACAACCCCTTCTCCATCATGTCTTAGACACAAGAAATCTTTTGAAAAGTACAGGAAAATCAAGCTGAAAAATTCTGGGGAAAAAATTTAGTTCTGTTGAGCGCAATGTGCGAGCAAGAACCAGATCTTATCTTCACACAAAATCTAGGGGCTCAAAAATACAGGTCTGGGAATCATTCAGAAAGGTTATAGGTGAAAAGAAGCTTTCTAAATATTATAAAATGAGGACTGTTAAAACAACACTGAAAAGTACCTCTTTCAGGGGTAGGAAGAAGAAGTATTAAAAAAGACAAGTAGAGACGACCAAGATGGCAGCATAGGTAAACACCTGAACTTGCCGCGCGCAACCACATTAAAACTACAACTAAAAGACAAAACAAGTATCATCCAGAACCACGGGAAGGTTGGCTGAGTGGAAATTCTACAACTAGAAGGAAAGAGAAAAGCACATTGAGTCCAGTAGGAGGAGCAGAGGTGTGGAAGTGTGGAGGTAGGGAAGCGAGTGCGAAAGGGGCTGGCAGCTGGGTACGCTGTTGTCTTTTTCAATTGGGAGGGAGATACAAGCTCCTGACTCCTCTGAACTCGTTCCGGGCCAGAATCTGGGGACCCAGGCTCACACAGAGAGAAACTGGACTGTCTGGCATTGGGCCAGAAGGGGAGGGCGACTTTCTCACGGAGGTGCTTGCAGCGGTCATTGTTCCTGCACGGAGCGGTGGGACACAGAGACCCAGGGACCTATTGGGAGAGGGCCGACAGGCAACCATTGCTGTTTGCTGTGCCCTGGTGATTCCCTGAGAACCCACCCCACCCAATTTACAACCCCACCCAAGCTGTGTGCAGAGGCTTTTGCATACGAATGGCCTGGCCTTTCTCTGCCTAAAAACTTGTCAAACTGCACCTGGGTCAGAGAACCCCAGAGCTTCCAAAAGAAGGCCTAAGGCTCGTCAGCAGCCTGCACTGCTTCACAGCGGCGCCTCATCTGGGCACCTCCAAACCCCAAACAAAGAGGAGGAATCTGCAGATCTCTCTGTAGCTCCTGCTGGGTAGCCTCAGGCAGTGACTAACTTTGCACCTCCTTGGAGATCCAAGAGCCAGTGTACAGAGTGGTCAGTATGAGACCATCCAGATTACAACTCTTCACATCCATAAGAGACACACTCAGGGGACAGACTCAGTGAGCGCCAAATCCCCACTGAAGCAAGTCCTACCCAATAAGGATGTCTCCTGCACAGCAGCTCTTCCATTGCAGACACAGCTGGTACTCACAGCCAATTGGCCTGGAGGTCAATTCCTCCCAGTGATACCAACAGCAATCAAGGCTTAACTACAACAAGACTGTGCACACAGACCACAAAGGGGTGCACCAACAGTGTCCACCTCAGGTAATTAGGGAGGCTGAGTCACTGGGCCCTATAGGACACCTAGCACACAAAGCCACTCTATCAACACAGGGAAACAGCTAAAATGCAGAGACAAAGAAACAGGTCACAAATGAAAGAAATGGAGGAAAGCAAACTACTGGATATAGAGTTCAAAACCACAGTTTTAGGTTACTCAAGAATCTTCTAGAAACCTCTGAGAAATATAGTGAGACCCTCAAGGATACGAAAATGGACCAATTAGAAATTAAGCATACACTGACTGAAATAAAGAATAATATACAGAGATCCAACAGCAGACTAGAGGATCCCAAGAATAAAGTCAAATATTTTAAATACGAAGAAGCAAAAAACACGCAACCAGAAAAGCAAAAGGAAAAAAGACTACAAATATATGCAGATAATGCAAGGAGCCTCTGGGACAACCTCAAGTGTACCAACATCCAAATTGTATCTATCTCTCCCTTCTCTTCCTCTCTGAAATCAATAAAAAAATATATATTTTAAAAAAAGTTAAGAAAGCCATAGAAAAGAGGAAGTGAGACAATAAAGTTAGGCTTAACAAAACTAAGCCTAACTTCATTGCCCAAATCACACAGCTTATAGTTTATAGTTATTTCAATTTAAAATCTGACTTGTATGCTTTTAACAATTAACTATACGGCTAATTAAATGAGACAATGACTAGATAGAGGAGGTTAATGGAAGAAAAGTTGAATGGCTTTCATTATCTCCAAATCAGTAACATGTAAGCCAAGCTTTTCAAACTCTCAGCCCACCAGCCACCAACGAATAGTTTTGAAGCCCAGCCAATATAATGGTACGTAAGAAACATTTTAATAAAAATTTCATAAATTTTTACAATATCCTGTTATATATAACTAGAGGCCTGTTGCACGAAAAGATTCGTGCAATAGGACTTCCCTTCCCCTGGCTGCCGGCACCAGTTTTCCTCCGGAACCCGGGACCCAGGCCTTCGCTCCGGCCGGAGCTGCCTTCAAGCCTTCACTGCTCCAGCCGGAGCCGGCTTCAGTCTTTGCTCCACCGCTTCACGCCTGTGTATGCAAATTAACCGCAATCTTTGTTGGCGGATAATTTGCATATCTCGCTGATTAGCCAATGGGAGGCATAGTGAAGGTACAGTCAATTACCATGTTTGTCTATTATTAGATAGGATTATTAATAACAAACTACAATGTTTGCTAATGACTGATTACTATAATCGTGTTGCATTCATTTCCCTTACGCTTCTTACGCACAGGCGCACCATTTGTTTACACTAATACTAGCAGCAAATAAAGCAGCTGATTGCCATGTCTTGGACTGACTTGTTTGGTGTGTACAACAGGAAATATTTCACTTTCGGAGAACAAGAAAAATAGGTTTATTTGTGTTACATTTATTAATTTGTGCAGTTATTCAGTGTTGGGTAAGTTAATGTTCAAGAAAAAATATTAATTTTATTAAAATGCTCTATTATTTTATGTTAATGATTACTCGTTTATTTCAGCCCTTTGTTATTCAGCATGTCTCTATCGAAATAAACCTACGTTTCTATAAATATTGAAGCTTTTGTATTTTTGCGGCCCACATAAACTTAAACCTTGTTTATTTAGCCCATGTTAGCCTTTGAGTTTGACATGCCTGATGTAAGCAATGATCCTTATGCAGCCAGCATACGATAACTAAATTGAGTTTGTACATGTAACGTGCAGTATAGGGCTCAATAAATGTTAACTGCCTTGCAGGAAAACATGCTTTTATCTGCTCTCTAGCATGAAACAAGAACCCTGCCTTATATTGTCTCCGGCAGGACAGATAAATCCATCTAGTTCTGAGAAATGTTAGCAAGCCATTTTGAGCACAGACTGAAGTCACATTATCCAATTGGTTTTATCAATATTAAACTTGGCACTTTGATCTCTAGCTGTCTGACCTTTACATCTTTTTTTATTATTATTATTATTATTATTATTATTATTATTATTATTATTATAGAACAAACATTTATTTCCCGGGGTTTTGGATGTTGAGAAGTCCAAGATAAAGGTGTTGGCAAACTTGGTGTCTGGTAAGAGCTACTTCCTGGTTCATAGATGGCTGTATTTCAGTTTTATCTCTATGTAGTGGAAGAGGTAAGGGAGCTTGCTGGAGCCTGTTTAATAAACACATTCTGCATCTATCTTTTAACTGGTTATGTACTCTGCTGATAAACAGAAATATTGATACCTCTTAGGTACTCCACAGAATATTATTACTCTATTGTAGATATAGTATTTATATTCAAATCTACTTAGAATGTAGTCTACATTTTAATAAACATGCACATTTCTTACCCTGATTAAAATCTGTGCCACATCAAAGTCTGAAACATCATCTAAAGTTGGAAAGGTATTTTCTGGTCCAAAAACAAGGCAGTTAAACAAAGTTTTAGAAAAAAAACCAGGTGAAGGACCACCATGAGCCAAAGAAATGGCAAGCATTTTGCCAGCGTCATAGTAATGATTCTCTTTCAGAGCTGTAAATAGATGGAAATACATTAAATACACTTCTATTATTATTATACATCATATATAATAAATACATCTATAATAAAAATAATCTAAGCATTAGATAAATGGGAAAATAACAATTCATAGAAGCTATGACATGTATAAAATATAGATGTCACCAAAAGTACACAAAATTTCTTTTTTCTGAATATAAAGTAATAACTTATTGTAGAAAAAAAATACAGAAACTCTTAAAAAAAAAAAACACCTATAAACCCAAAATGCCTTGAGTTAACATTATTAATTACTTAAAATTTTTTTTGAGTTTATAATTAAATTGTGGGTAGTATATATAGTACAAATGATCTTTGGTAGTTTCTCAGTTATTTCAATCATGCTTCAGGTAATAGCGAGGAAGTTCTAGGGAATATATAGGAAGGAATTCAAATGGACTGAAATGTCTTCTCACTTTCAAATTTCCTATATTATAGCAAAAATGGTATAAAAGTTAGTAAAAAAGAATGCTAGAATTAACCAGAGTTTTGAGATGCCCGTTTTAATCATATTACCTCCTCCCTAGAAATAAACACATAAAAGTATCATATACATAATTGTGTAAGAAAAATTCTTGAAAGCAAAAATACATTTAAAAATCTGTTACATGTGGACCAGAAAATTATGTTATAAAATTTGTAGGTTGTGAAGAAACGTGCCAACTGCAATTTCCAAATGTCTGAACAGGAAGGGCTCTGATAATCATCCATCCCATTTGCCCACTCTATTCAAATAAAATTAAAATGAATATAAAATACATTTTTAAGAAGTTGCAGTTAATTATGGAATCATTATCAAGCAGGATATTGCTATAAAGAAATTAACATTCTTAAAGAAAATATTTCACTACAAAATTTGCTTTTATTTTTTTTATTTTTTATTTTTTTAAAATATATTTTATTGATTTTTTACAGAGAGGCAGGGAGAGAGACAGAGAGCTAGAAACATCGATGAGAGAGAAACATCGATCAGCTGCCTCCTGCACATCTCCCACTGGGGATATGCCCGCAACCCAGGTACATGCCCTTGACCGGAATCGAACCCAGGACCCTTCAGTCCGCAGGCCGACGCTCTATCCACTGAGCCAAACCGGTTTCGGCTAAAATTTGCTTTTAAAACTATTACTGCCCCACCCTCATTTTTCTGTGATTCTATCAGTATTTTATTAACAAAGTAAATTATACATTTTTACCACATGTACTGAATATCAATTTTAACCAGCCATCTCTTCCTTTACACATGGTATATGCAATATGTACAATAATAAATAATTACCTTGAGAATTTAGGGACAAGTTCTTTGACAAGGACCCTTCAAACAATGGTGAGTTCTCAAGATGTTGCATTAAAAGACTTAGGAATTCTTGCTTTGATCCAGGATGCTCTGTTCCAAAATTATCATTTTCATTAACATATGCAACTTCAATTGTGTATGAAGGATTAAACTTTTGATTTCTGAATCCATTTAAGGCACTATTCCAGATATCGGCTTTGTTGATATATAATCTTTTTGTTTTTTTAATAATTTGAAATCCTAGCTCTATAATTATTGTTGAAATGTCTCTCCTAAATTTGTTGCCTTGCCTATAAAACATGAATTTAAACATAGAGGTAAAGGCTCTAAAATGCTTTAAGTGACATGACAATATACAGTTAAAAAGAAACCAAAAAAGATTAAAAGAAAGTTCTTCCCATCTCTCACCCAAAAGCAGACAATGCTGACACTGGAACCCAAAACAGTTATTTAATAACTTTAGTTCAAAATTATTGATTCTCTTTCCCCAATATCCTACCAAATTAGAATAATCTAATGTCATAACTGATTTATAGAATGTGCATAGATGAATATCTCAAATTTGATCAATTCAGTAGATTTAGGTATAAGAAAGAGTAAGAATCTCAAACTCTGACCTTTCTGGCCAATGACTACTACACACTTATTAAACTGTATCTTATTTCATATTTACTAGATCCTTTAAAAAAAACTAAAGCAAACATAGTCTCTGCTTACTATACAAGATAACTATAGGTTTAAGAAATTACAATGTATTTTTAACCATAAAGTTAACAGTAGAACTAATATTATAAAGAGAATTTGCAACCCTGCCTCAGTTTTTCCATCTGTAATTGGTATTGATGTACTTAAAATGATCCTGTTTGGGGCAATGTCATTTTCATCTTTCTACATTAAGTATAAATTTTTCCCATCCTAAGACATTATAATATCCCAATGTGGGCCAGGTTTTGTTTTTTTCTTTCTTCACACAACCCCCTACCATATTCATTTACCCAGGTTGAATGAAATCAAAATCTTTTGGAAGATAATCCTTCAAAAATAAACTGTCTTGTTGCAAGTTGATTCCTTGCTCCTGTCTGGACTGGAAATACTATGTTGTTCTTCTAAACATGATGGCATATTAGAGCAAGTGCAAGGACTCAAACTTCCCTGGCATAACATCTTTAGAAATCTAAACATTAAAATTATTTAAAACTAACATGAACATCTTTTTTATACTAAAAATCCTATATAATAAAGAGGTAATATGCAAATTGACCATCACGCCCTTGCACAAGATGGCTGCCCCCATGTGGTCAAAGATGGCCACCACAAGATAGCCAGCAGGGGAGGGCAGTTGGGGGTGACCAGGCCTGCAGGGGCGGGCAGTTGGCGGCAACCAGGCCGGGAGGGGAGGGCAGTTGTGGGCAATCAGGCCAGCAGGGGAGGGCAGTTGTGGGCGATGAGGCCAGCAGGGAAGGGCAGTTAGGGGCAACCAGACCTGTAGGGGAGGGTAGTTGGAGGTGACCAGGCCTACAGGGGAGGGCAGTTAGGGGCAACCAGGCCCACAGGTATCAGGCTGAAACCACCAGTCGAACATCCCCCGAGGGGTCCCAGATTGGAGAGGGTGCAGGCTGGGCTGACACCCCCCCTCCCTGCACAAATTTTGTGCACCGGGCCTCTAGTATAAAAATATTTGTAACAAATTTTCAGTTAATACACTGGTATTTTAAAACAGCAATTCTTCACTTCTTAAATAGAATCACTTCTATTTGCAAATCTAGTTATCAAATATTTTCACAAAAATTCTCTTGTCCTTCTAAATTTTAACTTGGTATTATTTTTAATAAGAAAGTACTTCCTCAGGCTTAGCTACTAATATTACTTATGTCTATGTCTATTTTTTCCCTATTGGCAACAAGGCTATATGAACTTTCTTTTATTAAGCTATACATATACTTAAAAATCCTAACTTCAGCTGGACAAATACCTGACACAGTATGAAGATGTAATTCTAATCTTATTTAAATGGTTAAGAATGATTTTCAAAGTTACTCATTTTGCTGTCTTATGAAAAGTTAGGCATTAATAAAATAATACTTGTCCATATGCCTTAAGCTTCCTACACAGATGACATTTTATCCGATACTTATAGTGAGTATTATAGTATTAAGCAAATGATTACAAAATAAAAAAGTTAACTCTATATTAAATATAATTCCATTTTTTAACAAAGTAACATGATATTCATGTTATTTAAATTCTTCTCTAACTCTATAACCAAATAACAGTTTAAGCACACTTTCCAAATATGTGTTTTCAAAGTATCTTGAAAATTATCTATAATAAAAATATGTTCTACATCATGAGCCCATATACAATTAAATACTAAAATTATTTTACATACATTCTTTCTATTTGCAGTGCAATATGATACTTTATATTCTAGTCTATCCTGTTTCATTTTCTTTTTTAAATGCTGATTGCATGATTTCATGATCAAATTTTGGGTCCTGCTGTTTGAAAAGCATTCTTCCAGACTACTGTAAAGATCAGCTAGCATTCTAAGTGTATACAGCCACTTCCTATTCATTTTTTCAGAATAGAGTTTTATATTTTTCTCCAATTCAAAATACACACCTCAGCAGATCTTTTTGCTGGGCTCCAGGTGACTGTCTGGGTAATTTCGGAGATGATTCTTCCAACAAGCAATCATTTATTCCAACATTGTTAGTGTTGGGTAATGTATGTTTTTTGGCTTTTTGGAAACCCCCTGCAGATTTAAAATCCAGTGTGAGCATAACAGAAATATAGGTAGAAACTTTTAAATAATATGCATTTAAATAAGAACATCTTTATTCAAAATTACAAAACGTTACCTGAGTTGTAGGTAATACCTCTACAATCCAAACACTCCCAATTTTGTTCCCATGATCGTAGTGAGGAACAGGCTAAATGTGTTCCACTAGAACCACAAGACTGACAACGCTTTATTTCCCATTTGCTGAGGAGATAAAGAGAAGCAAATATTGACATTTTGATATTAACTTAGTCAAATTCCCACACTGCCACAGGCCTCACTTTTGGAAAAGTATCACTGTCCACCTCACACACAAAACCAACCCAAAGGAAGAAAAATAGATTGTGCAGCTCCTCAGAACCCAGACTCACTACCAAGCCCATATTTGTTCTTTCTCTTATCAGTTTCCTCTCAGCCAGGCTGCCGGCTGCCAGCACAGCGGTGGTGGCAGGAGCCTCTCCCGCCTCCTCAGCAGCGCTAAGGATGTCTGACTGCAGCTTAGGCCTGCTCCCCGCTGGCAAGTGGACATCCCCTGAGAGCACCCCCCCGGGGAGGGGGCCTAAGCCAGCAGGTGAACATCCCCCAAGGGGGTCCCAGACTGCGAGAGGGCACAGGCTGGGCTGAGGGACCCCCCCCCCCAGCTCCCCAGTGCACAAATTTTTGTGCACCGGGCCTCTAGTGTTAAATAAGCAATCAATATAAAATTAAGATATTTTCACTTATTTTTTCTTAACTGTTATAGGCTGGATTGTGTCTCCCCAAAATTCATATGTTGGAGTCCTAACACCCAGTACCTCACAATGTGACTGTGTTTGGAGATAGGGCTTTGAAAGAGATAATTAAAATAAAATAAAGTCAAATGGGTGGACCCTAATTCAATATGCCAGGACATAGAAAGAGGGACAATCATGTAAAGATAGAACTAGAAGGGAATCATGTGCAAGTCAAGGAGAAGTTTCAGAAGAAGTCAAATCTGTGGATACCTTTATCATGGACTTCTAGACTCTAGAACTGTGAGTAGTAGAAACAAATTTCTATTATTTAAGGCATCTTGTTTGTGGTATTTTGTATGGCAGCCCTACTAACTAAGATGCATACTATGTCTTCAGTGTGTATTTGACACAACACCTCTAAATTGGGAACAGCCACACTTCAAGTGTTCAATAGCCACATGTGCCTAGTGGCTACCATATAGGACCAGTGCAGCACTAGAAAATAGAGCCTCACAAAAATGCACCAAGAAAATAAGGTGCAATTATGCTGAGTGCAATAATTTTTCTGTAAAAAGATGTAAATATACAATAAAGTTAAAACTTCAAACATCCTAAGAGCAAATACATTTCACTAACTATAACTCTGCTTTCTAAGCTGAAGGTTTCAATAAGAACACGAATTAAGCACAAGTGAACTTCCCGGTATACCTATTAGGCACATTATAGTCTCGCCCTTCCTTGCAACGACATCTTCGTACATCACAATGCTCATAGTGCTGCAGAAGCTCTTGATAAGCATTTTCTTCCAATTCCCAAGATGCATCTCTGTAAATGAAGCAAGACATAAAAAAAACTTTGACCTAAAATGTTACATATTAAAGGGTGGGTAATGAACCTAAAAATAAAAACTTTTCACATTAATAGTACTCAGGAATGAGGCTAAAATTTGTTTTTTAAGATTAATCATTCTCTTTAAGATATAAATCCTTTAGTGTCATTTTAGCCTACATTTAGTCTCACAGTGAGTTTTCAAATGCTAACTGAAATAGTAAGCAGAAAATTTCTAACTTATATTTTTAACATTTCACTTCCATTTATTTCAAGTTTAGTACCATTATTTCAGGATTCCTCATCTTTAAGTACTAACAAAATTCTTATTACACATTTTAGAGATATTTTCCGGGAGAACCAAGATGGCGGCATAGGTTAACTCCGGAGTTTGCTGCCTTGAACAACTACTTCAAAAGTGAAACTAAAAGACGGAATGGACATCACCCAGAACCACAGGATCGCTGGCTGAGTGGAAGTCCTACAACTTGGAGGAAAGAGAAACGCATACGGACACTCAGAGGAGGCGCAGTGCTGAAGTAAAATTCTGAGGTGCGGAGTGCGCGGGCTGGCGGCGGAGGGCGCGGTTGGCGTTTTCAATCGGGAGGGAGTCGCAGGCTCTGAGCTCCAGATACGGGCCAGTCTTTAGGCACCCTGACTCAAATGGGAGTAGCGGGACTGTCTGGCTTCGGTCAGAGCGAGTGCAGCTTTCTCTCCGAGGTTTGCAGCGGTCGGTCGCTGGGACTCAGAGAGGCAGAGCCCCTGGGGACAGGACTGAGAGCCACCATAACTGCTCTCTCCAGCCCACCCTGTGAGACCCGCCCCGCCCAAGCCCTGCACACAGGCATTTGCCAGATAGCCTCAGGCAAAGGCTAGATTAGCACCTCCCTAGAGGACAGAAGTTCTCTCACTGCTGACACAGCTGATTCTCATAGCCACTTGGCCTGGAGGTCAAACCCTCCCTGGTATTAGCTACAACAATCAAGGTTTAACTATAAGACTGCGAACAAAGACCACTAGGGGGTGCACCAAGGAAGCATAACAAAATGCGGAGACAAAGAAACAGGACAAAATTGTCAATGGAAGATATAGAGTTCAGAACCACACTTTAAGGTCTCTCAAGAACTGTTTAGAAGCCGCCGATAAACTTAATGAGATCTACAAGAAAACTAATGAGACCCTCGATCTTATATTGGGGAACCAACTAGAAATTAAGCATACACGGACTGAAATAACGAATATTATACAGACTCCCGACAGCAGACCAGAGGAGCGCAAGAATCAAGTCAATGATTTGAAATGCGAGGAAGCAAAAAACACCCAACCGGAGGGGCGGAATGAAAAAAGAAGCCAAAAATGCGAGGATAGTGTAAGGAGCCTCTGGGACAGCTTCAAGGGTACCAACATCAGAATTATAGGGGTGCCAGAAGATGAAAGAGAGCAAGATATTGAAAACCTATTTGAAGAAATAATGACAGAAAACTTCCCCCACCTGGTGAAAGAAATGGACTTACAGGTCCAAGAAGCGCGGAGAACCCCAAACAAAAGGAATCCAAAGAGGACCACACCAAGACACATCATAATTAAAATGCCAAGAGCAAAAGACAAAGAGAGAATCTTAAAAGCAGCAAGAGAAAGAAACTCAGTTACCTACAAGGGGATACCCATACGACTGTCAGCTGATTTCTCAACAGAAACTTTGCAGGCCAGAAGGGAGTGGCAAGAAATATTCAAAGTGATGAATACCAAGAACCTACAACCAAGATTACTTTATCCAGCAAAGCTATCATTCAGAATTGAAGGTCAGAAAAAGAGCTTCACAGATAAGGAAAAGCTAAAGGAGTTCATCACCACCAAACCAGGATTATATGAAATGCTGAAAGGTATCCTTTAAGAAGAGGAAGAGGAAGAAAAAGGTAAAGATACAAATTATGAACAACAAATATGCATCTATCAACAAGTGAATCTAAGAATCAAGTGAATAAATAATCTAATGAACAGAATGAACTGGTGATTATAATAGAATCAGGGACATAGAAAGGGAATGGACTGACTATTCTTGGGGGGGAAAGGGGTGTGGGAGATGCGGGAAGAGACTGGACAAAAATTGTGCACCTATGGATGAGGACAGTGGGTGGGGAGTGAGGGCGGAGGGTGGGGCGGGAACTGGGAGGAAGGGAGTTATGGGGGGAAAAAAGAGGAACAAATGTAATAATCTGAACAATAAACATTTAATTAAAAAAAATAAAATAAAAATAAAATAAAATAAAATAAAAAATTCTTATTAGACATTTTAAATCACATCTTGATTCTCTTAATTTATACATACCATTTTAAAGCCTACTATACTTGTGTATAAATCAATTAACATTACATACAATTGAGGTGTTTATTCAGAGACTATAAATCAACTAATGAAAATTTAAGTCACAGTCCTGCTCTCAAGAACTAGCAATCTGGGGAGAAAGAGGAGGTGGCAGGGGCTGCTTTACATTTCCCCATCTGAAGTGGCTGCTTCTCCATCATTACATAATCAGACATAAATGACTATTTTCACTGTTATTAAATCCTATTTATAAAATATCTTTTGTCAAACGTGGTACTCACTTTTCAGGAATATGAATTCCCATTCTCAACATCTCTTTCTGAAATATGTCACTATTATTGCATACTGTGCACCTGAAGAAAAACACTCCTGCATTTATTGCTTGAACCTGTAGTAAAAATAGAAAATCTTTAATAATTTAACAATATATTAGGTTATGAACTTTATAACTAACAGAACATGTGCTACTTTTCACTCAATATATAATGAAATCTTATTTTGTACACTAATGGTTCTCAAACTTTGATAAACTAAGTTATCCCACTGCTAAAATTTGGAGATCTTTTTCCCAATTGCCAAAAAAAATTAAGCTAATGAATTAACTGTTCTTAGCTTTACTATATATTCACCCATACATTCCTCTTAACCTTTGGTGTCTAATATCATTTCTGTTCCCAAATATTGTGGTGGCCATGTCTATGAATAAAATAGTAAAAATCTTGAGTTACTTCATCTAGGAAATATATTTAAATAAGTGCTACATAAAAAGTATCCTTGGTTCTATTTTTAACTCACTCTGTTAATTTCCTTCCTAAGAGGGGAGAAGTATAAAACCTATTCTCACTTTTCAGTTACTACAAATACAAAGGCAGCAGGCAGAGGGTATGCAGAGGGAAACAGAAAACTGTAACTCTACTAGAAAGAGTAGCCAATACCCAGTAAAAAATACCACAAAACTAATAGCACTCCTTCATTAACAAAATTTAATCCCTACTATATAGGCACCAAACACTATGCTATGTATCAAAAACAGAAATATAAAATGACTTATGAGTAGGCATACAGTATACAATTCTAATATAGTGTACAAGTTTTTTAAGTATATATATATGGAAGAGAGAGGAAGAAGTACCTCAGTCTATATAAGAGCCTGACAAAACTGTCAAAGCTAATTTTGGAAGAAGACACAGGAGTCTGCCAGGAAAATGGGACAAAAGACATTACAAAACTAGAAAATAGCATATATCAAATCAAGCATATGTCAAAACAAGTAAGCACATGTGATTAGAAAACTAATTAATAAACTCAGGATGACAGGCTGGCCATAGTGAACTAAGTAAGGAGGCTAAACAGGTAAATCAAAACCGATAGTGTGAAGAAATTATAGGAAATAAGGCATGCAGGAGAAAGACCAGCTCAGTAAGCTCCTACAAAAGTCTAGTTAAAATAGAGGGAGAGAACAGCAATGAAAAAGTATACACAAAAATATCTATTAGGTAGACCTGACAGACTTGGGTTCGGGAATGATTTTTGGAGGGTGAAGAAAGAAGTTAACAAATAGGAGCCCAGGTTCAAACTACTACCAAGTAACACACACACACACACACACACACACCCATGTGGTAGGAAAGCAACAAGTTTCTGAAATCTAAACCTAAAGCGTCTGCAAGCAATTGTAATATATACTAAATATAGGATGTGATACAAAAAGTAAGTGTCTAGTATGGAGGAAAAAACACCAGAGGGCATATGGAAGATACCAAGACCAGAACAATGAAGGAGAACTCCAAAATGAACAAGAATAGTAACAATTCTCTACATAGCCAGAGTGAAAAGTTTCCATTAATTTTAATATGTTTTTATATTGATGTTTTTATTTTTCAGAGAGGAAGTGAGAGGGAGAAGACAGAAACATTGATTGACTTGGCTGCCTCCTGCATAGCCCCCACCAGGGAGTTCGCTTGCAACCCGGGACTGGGAATTGAACCCACAACCTCTTGGTGCATGCTTGGGTCGATGCTCAACCACTTAGGAACACCGGCTGGGGTCCATTAATTTCTTTTATATTAACCTATAGTCTCTCCTCACAAAATCCCAATTTATAATATAGCATTTGTAGTGGTAAAAACAATGAAATTTTTGCATAGTTTTTTTTTCAAAATTTTGCATTCTATTGCATTAAGTTTCTTCTTCCTTTGACTCTTTTATATTAATGAATTCAGATATTTAAAATAATTATTCAGGTATTATTGTAGCTATCTAGATAGGGCAGATTCCATTTATTATTTCAGTTAAGATTCTAGTACTAGGGTGGAAAAGCCACTGGAACTCCTATAGAGAATATGAATGAACTCCAGTCAAGTAACAATTGCTTATTAATACTTATATCATAGACAGGTATCCATGTGGCTGTATTTTTGTTGTTGTTTAATTCTTACCCGAGGGTATTTTTTTCCATTGATTTTTTTTTTTTCCTTAGAGAGAGTGGAAGGGAGGGTTGGCGTGTGAGAAAGCAACATCGATGTGAGAAAGACACAGCGATTGGATGCCTCCAGCACAAACCTCAACTAGGGCCGGGGATCAAACCTGCAACCCAGGTACATGCCCTTGACCCGGATTTGAACCTGAGAGCCTCTGGTGCACAGCTGACACTCTAACCACTAAACACCAGCCAGAGCAAGGTGGCTATATTTTTATATTTGCATAAAGTAGACCTACAATTTTGTTAGCAATATTATTTCTACTCTTTTTGGTTGTTGTTAATCCTCACCTGAGGATATTTTTCCATTCATTTTCAGAGAGAGTAGAAGGGAGAGCGAGACACATGGGTGGGGGAGAGACATATCGTTTGGTTGCCTCCAGAATAGGGATTGAGGTAAGTGATCTTGACCAGACTCAAACCCCAGACCCTTAGTCCTCAGGCCGACACTCTATCCACTGAGCCAAACCAGCTAGGACTTATTTCTACGTTTTAATGACAGAATTAGAAACTTGGTGTCTTCAGAGTGTTCACAAAAAGCCTGGTGAATACTAGGTCAAGTTTGAGAACCTCTCTCTGATTCATTATTAACACACTAGAGGCCCGGCGCACGAAATCCGTGCAAGGGGAGGGTCCCCAGGCCTGGCCTGCGATCATGACTGATCTGCCCCAGCTGCCAGCAGCCGCCCCCTCCACCCCCCGCTGCCCTCTGTGTGGGGGGCGGCCAGCAGAGTGATCAGGGCACTGGCACCACCTGTGTCTGCCACCACCCAACCCCAGTACCCAGTTCCTCATCAGGCAATTGGAGCCTGCCGGCTGGGGGTAGGGAACAAGAGGTTGGCTGGCAGGCCCCAATTGGGCAATCAGGGCCTGCAGGCTGGGGGCAGCTCCTGCATTGAGCGTCTGCCCCCTGGTGGTCAGTGCGCATCATAGCCAACCGATCATTCCGCCATCCAGTCCATTTGCATATTACACTTTTATATATATAGATATATATATAGATAAATGAGGCTAATCTTATTTGTCTTGAAAAATAACACACTGTTACAAAATTAATAAGATACATTTGGCAGCAATTACATTCATCCAAATACAAACCCTTAATTAAGATAAAATACTTTTTAAAGATTCTCATAGAATGTAAACTTCTTCTTCAATAGGTACAGATAACACTTCATGAAGTTTATGAACTACACCCTCTGGATCCTTTCACAAACACTTATTTGTAAGAATTAACAGAATTTCTAATATTTACCCAACAAAATCGGTTCCATTTTGCCACTTTTCACTGAATAGCCCTAAATATAAATGTTCAAGGCTCATACAAAAAATTGAAAGTAATCATTTAACCTTTACTACTTTAACTACTATTAGTACTTTTAAGACTATCATCTTACTAAAAGGCTAGTATGCAAATGGTCATCACACCATCACACTAATCAGCAGGTACCTGAGGCTGCATGGTGCCAGGCTGGGGCGGGGGTCCTGAGGCTGTGCCCCCCACCCAGCAGGGCTTGACAGGGGAACTGAGGCCACACCCCCACCCCGGCGCCGGGACGTGGGGCTGTGTCCCCCTTTCGGCGGGGCTAGATGGGGCTGAGGCCAGCCGAGTCTTGGTGTTGCCCAATGGGGGTGGGGCCAACCAGACACTTCTATTATAGAGAAAGGGCAAATAGCAATATTAAAATATTTCCTCTAATTAATTCCCTTTAAATGTGTACGAATTTCTAGCACCGGGCCACTAGTCCTATATAATAAGAGGCCAGGGACTGTAAAGATGTAATGATCAGAATGACTAATCAAACAGTCACTATGAGGTACATTGACCACCTCTCGATCTCTCCCTGCAGTCTGCAGGCTCCAATGGCTGGATGGCCAATGGGGAACCATGGGGAACTGGGGTGAGTGGCGGCAGGGGGGACGGGGGACTGACGAGCAGGAAGAAGATGGCCCTGATTGCAGGCTAGGCCTAGGGACCCTACCTGCGCATGATTTTGTGCACTGGGCCTCTAGTCTATCCTATATAATAAAAGTCTAATAAGCAAATCAACTGAATGGCAGAATAACCAGAGGAACGACTGGTTACTATGACACGCACTGGCCACCAGGGGGCAGATGCTCAATGAAGGGGCTGCCCCCAGCCCACAGGCCCCAGGCCAGCCAAGGCAAGTACCAGCAGAGGTGCCCTGATCACCCCGCCATTTGCCCCACAGAGGGTGGTGCCAGACCAGCCAAAGTGGGTGCCAGTGGGGGCCCCACAGATCGGCCCTGATCACCAGCCAGGCTTAGAGACCCTACCTGTGCATGAATTTCATGCACCAGGCCTCTAGTATATATATAAAATCCTAAGCAACCGTTACGACCGGATGATAGCTATGATGTGCACTGACCACCAGGTGGCAGGTACTCAATGCAGGAGCTGCTCCCTGGTGGTCAGTGCGCTCCCACAGTCAACCACCTGTGGCCGGCCAACATCCCGCGGTCCCTCCTCCCAGCTGGCCAGCCCCAATCAGCCCCAATGGACCCCAATTGGGGCTGGGAGAGAAGGCCCCAATCAGCCCCAATCGTCGGCCAGGCCGAGGGACCCCACCCGTGCACGAATTCACGCACCAGGCCTCTAGTTGATATATAAGAGGATTTGCAATATCTCTTAACTTAAAAGGGAAAAAAAAATTTGTGGATAATCTATAATCAGCAGTAACCTCCTTTTATTTTAGTAAACAATAATAAAACCCAAGGTTTAAAAAGCAAGTAAATCCTTTGTTATTTGGCATTCTATGAGCTATAACTATCAGTTGGCACTTTACTACATGAATACTACATATTTGATGTTACTAATAACTGAGATTTTTTAAACTTTCAAATATCTTCTCAACAAAATAATATTGTTTAATGTCAAATTTCATGTTATTTTGTTTACTTGAAAACTTGTCATCAGGTTTGACATACAATAGGAAAGGCCTCTAACATTTAAATATCTTAGCTTACAATTACATAATCATTTCACATATCTTGGTTTTCTAAGCTTAAATATGTAAATAACTTGACAATAAATGTTTTATTTATTGTGAAACAAATGAAATCATTAGATAAATATAGATTAAAAAGTCGTATCTAAAGTATTAAAATATTAATTGTACAATTCATTAGGGTGAATTTACCCTAATGTAAAATAGGCTTCAATAAAGTTTCTATTTATTTTTTTAGATAACAATAGTTTACTTTTATTCACATCTTATTGCCATTACTAAAGATTAATTCATAAAAACATTGTTGCTACTTTAAAAATATATATATATATATATTTTTTTTATTGATTTCAGAAACAGAAATACCAATGATGACAGAGAATCACTGATTGGCTGCCTCCCGCAAGCCCCCCACCAGGGACCAAGCCCCAACCTGGAATCGAACTGCGACCTCCTGGTTCATAGGCAGACGCTCCACCACTGAACCATGCAGGTTGGGACATTTTTGCTATTCTAATGTCCTTTGACTCTCATCACCTCTTACAAATTCCTACCACATAGCAGAAAGTTATATTGCAAGTTATATTAGAAGTTATAATGCAAATGGAGCACATTAAGCATTTTTTAAGCCATTAAAATATGGCTTATGAACAATTTTATACAGCAGGTTATTGAATAACATGTTACATATTAACAGATCTATGGTACCATACAATCAGATTTCCTTGATATTAAAGATGGAGTTGGCATTTTTGTCAAGAAGATATTTTAATAGAGATGTTTTAAAAAGTTACAAGTAGTATGGGCTAAAACACCCATGTTAATTCTTTCCAATTTTAAATTTTAGCAGCAAGCAACAAATTTTATATCAGAAAAAGCTTACAAAACATCTTACCTGTAAACAGTCTCTATGAAACCAAGCATTTTTACAACATGGACTTCGTAATATGCTATAAGTTGGAATAGGCTCAATAAACTCCAAGCAAATGGTGCATGGTAAGGATTCTCTATAATTATTAGGTGTAATTATTTGAACAGGTCGATGGTTCCAACAAAATGACCTAAATTATTTAAAACCAACATCTAATAAATTACAAAGCACAATTAGGATAGCATTACAATTCACATTTATAAGAGAAACTGCATTTCTATCTCTCTCATAACTAACCTACAACAGACTGGAACTTTGGCATTATAAGTCAGTTTCATAATCTATGAGCATGTTTAACTGAACTTTCAAAATGTGAACCTTTTGGTGGTAGGCCTTCCCTCACAGAATCTCAGCAACTAATATTATGCTGAGAATCCTATATAAGATTGTTAGCAACAGAATACACACATCACTGCATTAAAAACTGCACAAAATTAAAGGAACTTAACATTTAAATATTTAATCATATAACAGATAAAATGAAAATAATAACTTATTCCTAACCCACTAAATTTATTTCCATTTGTATTTTCTAAACTGCAGTTTTTTTACATAGGAAAAAAAATCATTAAATTGGTCAAGAACACAAGGACTAAAAGAAATAAAACACTCATGATATCTAATATCAAAATTTATAAAAATTCCATGTTTACAGCTGGATTCAAGAACCAGTACTTTCAGGAGCATCCAGGGGAGCAATATTTACCTTTTGGATTCCAAATTTATATGCCTTCAATTCACACTAGAAGTAAATATGACTCCATGAAAGAAAACTGGACTATTACTGATAGATCTAAAGAGTGATATAAAAATCTAGAATTATATAAGGTAAAAATTTTCACTGACTATGAATACACATTAACAGTTCGATATTATACTCTAGAGCTGAAAGCTAAAGGTAAATAAGCCCATTTCAGATATGGCTATTCTTAAGACTTTGCAGATAGAAATGACTGCATATATTCTCTCTCTCTCTCTCTCTCTCTCTCAGTGTGTGTATATATATATATATATATATATATATATATACACACACACTGTATAAATTCAGTGCAGCTTTGAAAAAAAATTTAACAAAGTAATTATATAATTGGAATATCCATTTCCATTACTGACTTTTCTTTAACCATCATCTTTCATGTTCAACAGTTAACTCACGCAAAATTGCCAGTGAACTGGAAAATACATTCTCTCTGAAGTCCACACGGGAAATGATAACTTCGTTTACATCGAGGTGCAACACATCCAATTGAAGCACCACTTTTCTTGCAAACACAGCATTTCTAGAAAAAAACAAAAAAGAATAGGGGCATAACATAGAAAAATTGAGCACTATACTATAACTGAGGTATAAATAAATATTCCTTTTGAGGCGCCTGAAAATTAATTTAATCATATAGCAAATAGCTGTGGTGATAGTATATTAAAGAAATTTCCTGAAAAATTGTTCTACCCAGAAACAACCTAAAGACACTGAAGATTCACTCCTACAATAATTTCTGATACAGTAAACATCTGTAACCTAACATATGAATGAGAAAAAAAGTTTCTTGTCCTTCCTATTTGCTAAAAAAAAATAAGGGTTTATGAACATAATAGCTATACAGGAAAGTCTCATTCAAATTTCAAATGAAAACACATAATTAGGAAATATCACCAAGGAAAATAGTTTCACAATACTAAAAACCAATCTGTAAAAAGAAATGGCTAGGATCACTCTATCCTAACCATGTGAAAAAGTATTAGATAATCATAATAGGTTAAATAGTGACCCCTAAAAAGGTATATTCAAGTCTTAATTCCTGGTACCTGAATGAATGTGACCTTATTTGGAAATACGGTCTTTGTAGAAGTAAGTTAAGGATTTAAAGATGAGATTATTCTGTATTTAGAGGGGTTCCTAAGTCAAATAACTGATGTCTTTGGAGGGGTAGATTTAAGACACAGACACACAGAGGGAAAGACCATATGAAGATGGAAGCAGAGACTGAGGTTATGCTGCCACAAACTAAGAAATGAAAAGCTTGTCAGCAGCCATCAAAAGCTCAGAGAGAAGCAAGGAATGGGTTCCCCCTCAGAGCTTCCAGAAGGAATCAATTCTGACAGATTGATTTGGAACTTCTGGTCTCCAGAATTGTGAGACATTTCCATTTTAAGTGACCCAGGTTATGGTAATTAATTATGACAGCTCTAGGAAACAAACACAATAGCACTGCTACTAACTGAAATATAACAGTGGTATACAAACAAAGACTATTAGATGAATCAATCATTACTAAAATATAGAGCAGTACCTAAAACATCTTGAAATCCTTGAAATGACCATTATAATGGTCACTGATGAAGAGATTAAACAGTGTTAATGCTGATCCCTCAAACACTACCAGGTCATAAGAGAACTAGAGGCCCGGTACACGAAATTCATGCACTATGTGTGTGTGTGTGTGTGTGTGTGTGCCCCTCAGCCCAGCCTGCACCCTCTCCAATCTGGGACCCCTCAGGGGATATCTGACTGCCATAGGATCAGGCCTAAACCAGCATTTGGACATCCCTCACAATCTGGGACTGCTGGCTCCAACCGCTTGCCTGCCTGCCTGCCTGATTTCCCCTAACCACTTCTGCCTGCCAGCTTGATCACCCCCTAACTGCTCCCCTGCTGGCCTGATCGACGCCTAACTGCTCCCCTGCCAACCCAATTGCCCCCAACTGCCCTCCCCTGCCGGCCTGGTCACCCCCAACTGCCCTCCCCTGCTGGTCTGATCGCCCACAACTGTCCTCCCCTGCCAGCCATCTTGTGGCTGTGGGCACTGCCATCTTTGAGGGCATGGCAGCCAATCAGCATATTCCCTCCTTATTGGCTGTGGGTGCCGCCATCTCTGAGGGCAGGACAGTCAATTAGCAAATTCCCTCCTTATTGCCTGTGGGTGCCGTCATCTTTGCGATGACATGAGAGTCAATTAGCATATCCCCTCTTTATTAGATAGGATACCTTGCCAACCTGATGCTCTCTCAGTAAAATGATACAGAGAATTCTAATTTAAGGTCACAAATGGAAATACTTCTTCAGGATCAAGATATTCTTAAAGGTTCACAATACAGTATACTCAAGAGAGAATTCAGATGTTTTAAGAAAACAGGTATTTCCAAACCGTAAGGAGACCTTTAGAGGCCACCTCTCACCACATATTCACTATCAGGAAGTTGAGGAATTTTGATACTAATACTCACATGTGACTCTTAGATACCCTACTGATGCCCATTCGCCCAACCTTTTCCCTTATGCTCTGGAACCTTTATTTTACCATCAAGCCTCTGCATCCTCAACATGTTAAAAAATAGTTGCCTCGCCCTAACTGGTTTAGCTCAGTGGATAGAGCGTCAGCCTATGGCCTAAAGGGTCCCAGGTATGATTCCGGTCAAGGGCATGTACCTTGGTTGCAGGCGCATCCCCAGTGGGGACTGTGCAGGAGGCAGCTGATCGATGTTTCTCTCTCATCAATGTTTCTGGCTCTCTATCCCTCTCCCTTCCTCTCTGTAAAAAATCAATAAAATATATATTAAAAAAAAATAGTTGCCTCCATTTCTTTGCCTCAACTAAAATAAAGGTCTCTACATGCTTCCCTTATAAAATGTCTTGAATAAAGCTGCTTGCTTATAAACACAATGCCTATACACAAAAGTCTCATTCAAATCTCAAATGAAAACACATAATTAAAAAATACTCCTTAAATTCCAGACTTGCCCAGGGGTGTAACTGGGATATGGACATGGACAGGAAGGGGGACAAACATACATTATTTTAATTGTCTGTTGCAGGTTGTAGGCTATTACTGCATGTTCATATTTAACCTCTCATTCTCCCACCTTCATTATTCCTACTCAGACCACTTGGAAACCCACGGTCCTTTCCTTGTACATCATCTAGTAGCTATCACAGAGTAGATTCTCATCTATATATATAAAAGCCTAAGCGACCGTTCAACCATTCGACCAGTAGCTATGATGCACACTGACCACCAGGGGCCAGAAACTCAAAGAACTGGCATGGAAACATGGAACAGACTGATGCATCCCAGTGGGAAGCGGGGGAGGGTAGAGGGTGGGAAGAGAGTAACCAAAGATCTTATATGCATATTAGAGGCATGCACTGGTGGGGTCCCACAGCCTGGCCTGCGGGGAACGGGCCGAAACCGGCAATCTGACATCCCCTGAGGGGTGCCGGATTGTGAGAGGGTGCAGGCCAAGGGACCCCACCGTGCATGAATCCATGCACCGGGCCTCTAGTATTATAATGAAATGAGTGAGGAGTTAAAAGCTTAGAATACTTATCTTGGAGAACAGGAGAAGGCACTGAACAAAGCACACAAAGTCACAGAAGGGCCACAGAGGTGTGGAGATCACAAATTACTGGTCTTTATACTTGTGTAATTTTACCTCAACCCATCATTTCTACCCAACAAATGAGGTATAAGAATGAAAAGTGAATGTCTGGATGACTCAGTATTGAAGTTTGAAGAACAGCGGAGTATTAGTGTGTTCATAATTCTGATAAATGTGGGTGAATTGATGGGTTGGTTGGAATAAGATAAGGAAGTGAAAATCAATACTGTCACATATATTATCCAGGGGCGGTTAAGTTCCCTTTCACTTGCAAAAATACAAATGTTCTAAATTCACCATATTTGACAAAGTAAGCACTGGAACATAAAATAGAAGTCTTACAAATTTCTAGTGGAGAAACTGATAAAGAAGACTTCCCTAGTATTGACAATATTTACAGTATTTACTAAAATGAGTAAAATAATTTACTTACCAGTTTAGAAGCTCTATTCACTTCTTTCCTTATGTCTTCTATTAGGAAACCATAAACTCCTTCTTCTTCTTTACCTCTTTGCCAAATTCCACTTGACATCAACTATGAATATGTTCTCAATTAGAAAATAAACTCTAAAAAACTAGTTTGGAATAAAAATTATTTATCTATAATATTTTAATAAATAAAACAGCTAGAATTTCAAGTACCTCTTATCTATAATAGTTATTTTTTATTATCAAAGTAAGAGGCTACTCACATTTTTTATTTGAAAGGCACTGTATATTAATAGTTCATATAATGAAACTAGTCTCTAAAATATTTCAGGAAATAACAAAGGAGGAACGGAAGGAAAACAAAAAATACCTATAATTAAGCTTTATGGGGAAAAAGTGGTAAATACTGAAAGGTGTAAATGTAATAACAGTCAATACGAGGGGGATAATATGATATTTCAGGCTAACTGTAAATCTAGCTGGATTCTAAATCATATAAGGCATATTTACAGGGAAACCTATTGAATTGTAATTAACATAAATGTTTAAATGTTTTAAAATCTGATTTTTAACGTTAGTTTAAACATGTTAAAGGAGCATGAATCAAGAAAAAGCATGGGACTGTGAATAACAGATCTGGCTTGCAAATCAGGCTCTGTATCCAACTTTCCAGATCCCTCAGCAAATAATTTAATATGAATGACCTTAAACACAAAAATAAAAATACTGGACTAGATTATCAATAAGTCACTTTTAACTTTAACATTCCATTGCCATTGGTAACATTACTACTCTTTTCTGTTCACAGTGAAATAGAATCTTATAAATGTTGAGTCTAGGGTTAGTATTTCTTCGAATTATTATACTCGCTAATAAAATAAGAGAATATAAAAAATTTAATGTGATCAACTTAAATATATTTAAATATTTCAAAAATACTTCCAAGTATTGACAATATCAAAGTGCTTAAAGAGGCTTAATCAGTATAATTTCTCCTAAAGAAAACCAAGTGATATATATTATTTAGGAATTAGTTATGGGGGGGGGGGGGAACAGACTAATAAAATAGCCCTCTTAATTCTATATAAAAAGTAAAATAAGCTCTTAGAAAAATGAAAACATTTTCTTGTTATGCAAAATATAATAAATTCCAATTTACAAAAAATTTTGGCATGCCAATTTCATGTTTTCTTAACTCTTGGTACAAAGGAATTAGGTTCTTAGGCCAGTCTAGAAGTTTATTTAACCCATAGGTAATTGAGACACAAAACTAGTCTTACAGAACCACCAAGGAATATGTTATATGTTTTCTTAAGGAAGCATCTAAAGAGTTTTAACATGGATACTGTGGTAGGTATAAAAATATGTCCACAAATTAGTTGATACTCTTTCCTTTAAGAAGTGGAGTCTAATTCCTTTCCCCTTGAGTGTGAGTTAACACTTAATGACTTGCTTCTAAGCAAGAGCACAAAGCAAAAGTGACAGTGATATGTGACTGTGAAGACTAGGTCACATGATTCCATGACATTGTATGTATCTATCCCCTCTTTCTTTTTTTCTTCACTTGCTCTGGAAGAAGCCAGATTCCATGCTGTGAACAGCCCTAAAGCGGTACCCAGAAAATAAGAATTTAAGACACAGGTTTAGTGAATCAAGAAATTGGTGGAGGGAATGGGGAAATAAATGAGACTAATTTTCAGTATGAAATTACTTTTTTCTTTTGAGTGACCCATCATAAATTATCTTATTTCCTTTTCTACAAATATTTATTGCCTTTAGTCAAAAGGTTAGGCAAAAATAAATATGTAATGATGACAGGTCTTAATGAAAATCTTATTTTTACATATAGGCAAAATGAGAGCCAGAATAGTTAAATAAGTTATCTAATTCTCAGAAACCAATCATCAGGATCTAATCCTCTTCTTTAGAAGAACATCAAATTTCTAAGATTTACTTATAAATTATACTCACCAAACAATAGTAATGTACAGTGAGATTCCATTTCTCATTAATTTTCTTTTCTCCATATTTATTAGGACAATCATCATTTTTTCGACAGAAAACACAAGCTAACAGTGAAAAAGTAAATTAGATAGGAAAAATATTTTGTAAATTAAAAAAAACAACACCCCCCTATGGAATTAGTGCTTTTTTCAATTGATGTGTTCAATTCTTTCTGTGTAAGCAAGTTACATTATATTGTTATCAGTAACTTAAAATTTCAACACCTACTTCTAAAACAATAATGTGACTTTATATTTTATTCATTAATCTTTAATGATGAATTCCAGTGTATAGATAAAATGGCAACCTGCAAGGTAACATCACTGAAAACAATGGATTAGGAGTCTTCAAAACTCTATTAAAGCAACGATTAAGCTGCCAAAAACTGTCAGAATCAATTTTTCAGAAACTCTGAAATCTTACAACAATTAGGAAGATCCTATATAATAAAAGCCCAGCGACCATAACGGCAGAATGACTGCTCAACCAGTCACTATGAGGTGCACTGACCACCTCTGAATCTCTTTCTCTGGCCAGCAGGCTATGATCGCACGATGGTGAACAGGGACCTGGGGGTGGGTGGTAGAGGGTGCGGGCGGCACCAGGCCAAGGTCCCCACCCTGCCAGTTGCCCCACACACAGAGGGTGACCCGCGGCAGAGGTAGGGCTGGCGAGCGGGCAGGAACGGGCGACCTCTCGATCCTTCCCCCGGGCCTTCAGGCTCCAATCGCCCGATGGTGAACGGGGAACTGGAGTGGGTGGCGGCAGACGGCGGGGCTGGTTGCCAGCGAAGGTGGCCCTGATCACAGGCTAGTCCAAGGGACCCTACCCATGCACGAATTCATGCACCGGGCCTCTAGTGCTTAATAAAAAACAAGTTGCTATATTTGATGAGAACTTTATGGTATTTTAACTCCACCCATCACCTCCCGCCTCCCAATCTCCAGCTGGGCAATGGCCTTAAGTACAATGGCCCATGTTCCTGGTGTGGATTGTCCAAGAGGAGGTAATGTGGACTTTGTTCTCAAAGAAATGTTACTGTTTGTTTTGACCCATGTAGAGGCTCCCTGAAGGGATGGGCTCAGATGCTTGCCTTTGTTTTGCCTAGGTCAGAACTTTCTCAGGGCTGGAGTCTGACCATTATCAAAAGCATTTAGACAAATATACTAGCTGCAGCAGCTTGAAACAAAGGATAACTGACAGGACAAGCAGGTGACAGACTAAAAAGCCTAAGAAAGAAGAGGCTGGAAATGGGGGATACATGGGGAAATAATGGCTTTGAAAAGTTCCCACATATAGTGAGGGAATCTAGGACACACACATGCTCAGGGCTGGGTGCATACTCAGGAAAAACCCAGAAACTAAGCTTCCACCTCTGGCTGGTCAGGAAGCTCCTGAAAGTCTCTATAAAAATCAAATTTAATTTTAACTTTAAGGAACTAGAAGAAGAAAAAAAAGAATAAAGTAAACCCAAAACTAGCATAAGGGAAGAAATAATAAACATAAGAGCAGAAAAAAATGAAAGAGAAAGAAAACAATAGAATGAATAAAAGCAAAGTTGGTTCTTTGAAAAGGTCAACAGAATTTTAGACCGACTCACAATAAAAGATTGACCTAGATTGACCTAGAAAAAAAAAAAAAGACTCAAAACTTATGATAAAGATACAAAAATCAAAACAGTGTGGTACTGGCATAAGAGAAATGGAAAGATATATAGACATATAGATATATGGAAAAGAAGATTCCAGAAATAAACCCATATGTCTAAGATCAATTAATTTTGAACAAGGATTCTAAGACCATTCCATGGGAAAAGAAAAGTCTCTTCAACAAATGGTGATGGCAGGCCCTTGCCAGGTAGTTCAGTTGGTTAGGGCGCTGTCTCAATGCACCAAGGTTTCAGGTTCGATCTTTGCTCAGAGTATATACAAGAAGCAACCAATGAAACAATAAATGCATGGAGCAACAGAATGACATCTCTCTCTCTCTCTCTCTCTCTCTCTCTCTCTCTCTCTCTCTCTCTCTCTCTAAACCAATCAACAAAAAAAATTTTAAATGGTGCTGGGACAACTAAATAGTCACATGCAAGATAATATAATCACACCCCTTCCTAACACCATATACAACAATTAAATTAACTCAAAGCAGGTCCAAGACCTAATTGTACGGTCAAAACTATACAACTCTTAGAAGAAAATATAGGGGTAAATCTTCATAACCTTGAATTTGGCAATAGTTTCTTAAATATCACAAGATACTAAAAACAAAAGTAATCAAAGAAAAAATAGAGAAATTAAACTTCACTGAAGTTTAAGACATTTGTTCATCAAAGGATAATAACAAGAGAGTAAAAAGATAATGTACAGAGAATTAAGAGAATATATTTGGAAATCATATACCTGTTAAGGGTCTAGTGTCCAGAATGTATAAGAAAGTCTTACAACTCAAAAAGAAAAATACAACCCAATTTTAAAATGGGGCAAAAAATCTGAATAGACATTTCTCCACAGAAGATATATGGTCAGTAAGCATATTAAAAGATGCTTAATATCATTATTCATTAAGGAAATACAATCTAAACCACAATGAGATGACACTCCACACCCACTAGGATGGTTATAATCAAAACACCCTAGCCGGTTTAGCTCAGTGGCTAGTATCGGCCTTCAGACTGAAAGGTCCCAGGTTCGATTCTGGTTGCAGGCTCAATCCCCATTCCTGGTCAGGGCGCATGCCAGAGGCAACAAGTTGATGTGAGGTGTCTCTTTCACATGATGTTTCCTTCTCTCTCTTTCTCCCCCTCCCACTCTCTCTAAAAAAAAAAAAAAAATCAATGGAAAAATATCCTTGGGTGAGGATTAACAACAACAAAAGTAATAACACAGTAACAATTAACAGATAATAACAAATGTTTGGAAGGCTGTGGAGAAACCCTCATATACTGCTAGTGTAAATGTGAAATGGTATAGCTACTTTGAAAAATAATCTGGCAGTTCTGCAAAAAGTTAAACATAGTTACTGCATGGCACAACAATTCCATTCCTGGGTATACATGCCAAAGAAATAAAAAATAAATATTCAAACAAATATTTGTATACTCATGTTCACAGCAGCACTGTTCACAATAGCCAAAATAAAGGGGGGGGGGGTGTTCACTGATAGGTGGATAAATAAATAAACAAAATATAGTATATCCATACAATGGAATATTATTTAGCTAGAAAAAGAAATGAAGTACTGATACATACAACATGGATGAGTCTTGATACATTATGCTAAATGAAAGAATCCAAGCACAAAAGGTTACGTACATGATTCCATTAACATAAGATTTCATTATCCAGAATAGGCATATTACAGAGATAGACAAAAAGCAGACTGATGTTTTCCAGAGGAAATGAGAAGTGACTACCTAATGGGTATAGAGCTTCCTTTGACGGTGTTGAAAATATTTTGGAGCCAGTGATGGTTGCACAAAATTGTGTATGTACATAATGTCACCAAATTGTACATTTCAAAATAGTTAAAGTAATGAATTTTCTATTATGTGCATTTTACCACAATAATAACAAATTTAGAAAGAAGTTTGAGAAGCTCAGCTCTAAGCAAGAGCAATTTTAAAGTGCTCACTCATGCTATCCTGTGCACTGTTTCTGGCTCCTGAGAAGGTCTACAGAAACTAAGGGTCCCAGCAGGGCCATATTGAACTTCCGTGTCTGCATGACTAGCTTAAGCTGAACTTCATCACTCTCCAAGCCACATCTAGGAAGAGCCTTATACACATAAAGTTTGCTGATGGAGGTATGCAAATAATGCTACACCGCCATGAACTACCACTATAACCAACAACATGGATGAATCTCATGAGCTTCATTATGTACATACACAATTTTGTGCAACCATCACTGGCTCCAACATATTTTCAACACCGTCAAAGGAAACTCTATACCCATTAGGTAGTCACTTCTCATTTCCTCTGGAAAACATCAGTCTGCTTTTTGTCTATCTCTGTAATATACCTATTCTGGATAATGAAATCTTATGTAAATGGAATCATTCCTTTTTATTAGCTAAATAATATTAGCTAAATAATATTCCATAACGATGAACAAAAAAGACTTTGAGTCAGGTATTATTCTTGGGAAGAATAATAAGACAGCATGAGGACAGCAACAACAAGGATGACTTCTGGGTGCTATTTCTATTCTACTTTTTGTTCTGGAGGGTGGTTACACAGGATGACCCTAATTATTACCTTGAGGAGTTTGTAATTTATTTGGGGTGCAAATAGGAGTCAATGAAGATCTGTGAATTGGCAGAGGTATAACCAAAGATGTGTTATTAAAGAAGAAGGAGAAAGACTACAAGAATCTAGAACTGAAATAAAAGAAACTCACAAGTAGCCAAAAAGAAAAGAGAAACTATGTAAATACAAGATGGTGCTGCTGCCAAGCCATTTTATCTATGTGCCTTGATGTAATAGTCTTATCCAAATTTCCAAGTATCTCACTGAAAATGTCTCAAAATGAACAAAACTGTTCTATGTGACACTAGTGGAAATAAGAGTGAGCCAAATCTAGCTATCATCTGTGCCCATGTGATGTCCTGTAATCTTTCATATGTATTACCTTGGATAAAATATGAGCTGGAGTTAATAATTTTGTTAACAGTATACTATATTTCTCAAATGTACATGCAATATGAATTTTTAATAGGATAACAGATATTTATCTGCAATAATGGATGGGAAAAAATTGAGGGTTTAATATCCTCAGCAATTCACAGAAGCTCCAAAATCCAACATCTATATTCCCATCACATACATTGAAACCATCATGACAATGCTGTCATTTTCCTTTGTGAGACCAAGGCAAGATGGCAGGTTCTAAATAATGCATACGCTACCAACATTCCTGCTCATATTCCTTTCAAAAAATGGTGAAGTGTCTTTTTTATAGTCCATAAAGAATGGAAATCATATGGTGAATCAGATCATTGCTTTCAGGAGGAGCTACCACACAAACTACAGTTCTTCAGTTCACCCATGTCAGGATCAGGTTGCCAG